AAAGGCAACTTTTGAATCAATGGAAATCTGTTCTCTTGTTAAACTTGACTTTGGTCGTCTTTTGGTTCTTCCTGCTTTGAAAAGAAGACTCTTGACAAAGGTTTCATCTGTAGCTTACTGGTTTCTGGTCCAAATATCAGCATTTGTACTTATCAGAAAACTCCCTGGGATTCCAATGCTCATCGCCTTAACTGAAAAATAAAAGAATCTAAGTTTAGGGAGGGCAGTTGAGTTGCCATGAAATATTTCTTGGCACATGAAACGATACATTGCACCACAGGATTGTTTTAAAAGAAATTTGCCATTGTACTCCTATCATGTTTCCAAAAAAGAATGTTATCATCGTAAATGTGTCCACTTGATTGTACTGCATCTCATTTTGCGGAGAGAAAAATAAAATTCGTAACCCAACTGAAAGTGAAATAATACGCAAGTATCACTGCTCACATATGAGCAAAGATTAGGATTTAATGTAACATTGTATTGAATAGAATGTATCAACAGAATTATTACTTGCTGCAGCCTTTAAATCTCCTTGAAATCCAGGTTGACGTCGTCACCAATGAGTACAAATGGTGCCCAGTAAATCACCTCCTTGAACTTTTCAATTTCTCTCATACACTTCATGGCCTGATTGAGAGCTTCGCTTGCCTTCTTGCCTTTGGCAAGTGCACCGTAGAAGAACGTCATAAACTCCAGGGTTCCCTCGTCGCCAATCGCCCACAAGGTTACCACAACAGATCTGGCACCGGCACCCAAAAGTGCACGCGCCATGCCAACCACACCCTCGGCCATGACCTCCCCACGAGCAGTGTGACAGCAGCTGAGTACAACCAGACGTGCTCGCAACCCAGCTTCCATGACATCGTTCATCGTCAGCAGATAGTCTTTCTCTTGCGGCTGAAGGTTATCTCTTGTGGTGTTTGGTGCCAGAATAACTTCTCCAGTTTCTATTTTGCCGTGCGCTGCTATGTGAACTAAGGCCACTGATGATATTCGTTTTAACACTTCATCTTTTGTTGCCATTTCTCCAGTGAGAGGGGAGACATTGAGGATACGTCCGATCATCTCCACTTCTTTCCTTGCTCCTGGAAGTTGCACCAAAAGCCCTCCCTCATAGATAATATGTTTGAAACATGGGTCGCCGACAAGCAATGCACCAGTCTTCATGTGAAAGTCAGCTGGACAGTCATGAATTAGTTGCAAGGTCGTCAGAGAGGGAAGCAAACGAATTGTGAAAGAATCACTTAGATATGATGAGTTGGAGAACTGCAACGCTGCATAAGGTACGAGGCAAAATGGCCCCTCAGGAACGAATGTGATCTCGTCGTTACCTTCGATCAGGTCAGCAATAGGAGTAACGATGATGTCATGCAGCTTCTTTAAAGCACTAGATTGGGAGTGCCTCACATCAACTGGAATCACATCATTGGCCACTTCCTCTCCTGTCGGCAGTCTTTTCTCGATCTCCTTAAGAGCAGTTTTGTTCAATAGCTTGATGAAAAATTCCAATTCATCCTCATACTTGTATTTGTTCACGTGTACTTTTCTCATATGGATATTATTTTCGCTAAGGCAAACCCAGAAGTAAACGCATGGTCCATTAATAGCTATGAAAACTGTGCTCAATGGAACCCACCTCAGAGAAATGCGGGATGCACTGAGCGTTAAAGAATCTCCAGGCTGATATTTTTTGACCATGAGATCTCTCAGAGCTTGAGCACGTCCTTTCTCTGTGGCAAGAAGAGCCTTCACAACTTGACCTCGGTTGAGATTTATACGCCACAAACCTTTGTATGCTACTTGGTGCTGATTACGATAACAAATCTTCCACTGATCGTTGAGTTGAAGACTGGCCCTGATATCATCATACAATTCAACACTCAAGTAATAATAGTCAAAGGCTATCATAAGGTTTCCTTGGCACTGAAAACTACTTCCAAGGGAACAGAGGGAGCACGCCTCTCCAGTCTTATCTCCCACTTCTTTGGATATTTCTAGGTAACGTAGAAAACACTCAATAGCTGTTTTCAACTTTCTTTGACCCTCATGAATCCTGCCGAGAAGGCAATAACATTTTCCCTCTGCAGCCTTGTTTCCCACTTCTTTAGCAATGTCTAGATAACGTTGATGGTACTCCATCGCTTTACTGAACTGTCGAAGATCTTGATAAGCGTTGCCGAGATCACCATAACTTGCTCCCTCTCCGGCCTTGTCTCCCACTTCTTTAGCAATTTCTAGGTGCTGTTGATGGTACTCGATAGCTATTTTGAACTCTCGAAGACCTCGATAAGCGTTGCCGAGATTGCCATAACTTGTTCCCTCTCCAGCCTTGTCTCCTACTTCTTTAGCAATTTCTAGATGACGTTTATGGAACTGGATGGCTGTTTTGAACTGTCCTAGACCGTCATAAGTGTTGCCGAGATTGCAATAACTTTTTCCCTCTCCGTCCTTGTCTCCCACATCTTTAGCGATTTCTAGATGACGTTCATGGTACTGGATGGCTGTTTTGAACTGTCCTAAAAAATTATAAGCGTTGCCGAGACTGCTGTAACTTCTTCCCTCTCCGGCCTTGTCTCCCACCTCTTTAGCAATCTCTAGATGACGTTGATGGTACCGGATGGCTGTTTTGAACTGTCCTAGACCGTCATAAGCGTTGCCGAGATTGCCATAACTTTTTCCCTCTCCAGCCTTGTCTCCCACTTCTTTAGCAATTTCTAGGTGACGTTGATGATACTGGATGGCTGTTTTGAACTGTCCTAAACAATTATAAGCGTTGCTGAGACTGCCATAACTTCTTCCCTCGCCGGCCTTGTCTCCCACGTCTTTAGCAATTTCTAGATGACATTGATGGTACTGGATGGCTGTTTTGAACTGTCCTAGACCTTTATAAGCGTTGCCGAGATTGCCATAACAGATTCCCTCTCCGGCCTTGTCTTCCACTTCCTTAGCAATCTCTAGATGACGTTGATGGTACTGGATGGCTCTTTCGAACTGTCCTAGACCACTGTAGGCGTTGCCGAGACTGCTATAACTTCTTCCCTCTCCGGCCTTGTCTTCCACTTCTTTAGCAATCTCTAGATGACGTTCATGGTACTGGATGGCTGTTTTGAACTGTCCTAGACCTTGATAAGCGTTGCCGAGACTGCCATAGCTGATTCCTTCTCCGGCCTTGTCTCCCACGTCTTTAGCAATTTTTAGATGACGTTGATGGTACTGCATGGCTGTTTTGAACTTTCCTAGATAATTATAAGCGTTACCGAGACTGCTATAACTTCTTCCCACTCCGGCCTGGTCTCCTACTTCCTTGGCAATCTCTAGATGATGTTGATGGTATTGGATGGCTGTTTTGAACCGTCCTAGACCTTTATAAGCGTTGCCGAGATTGCCATAACTGATTCCCTCTCCCGCCTTGTCTTCTACTTCTTTAGCAATCTCCAGATGACGTTGATGGTACTGAATGGCTGTTTTGAACTGTCCTAGACCGTCGTAAGCGTTGCCGAGCCCGCAATAGCTGATTCCCTCTCCGGCCTTGTTTTCCACTTCTTTAGCAATTTTTAGGTGACGTTGATGGTACTTGATGGCTGTTTTGAACTCTCCTATACCGTCATAAGCGTTGCCGAGATTGCCATAACTGATTCCCTCTCCCGCCTTGGCTCCCACTTTTATTGCAATTTCTAGATGACGTTGATGGTACTGGATGGCTGTTTTGAACTGTCCTAGACCTTGATAAGCGTTGCCGAGATTGCCGTAACTGATTCCCTCTCCGGTCTTGTTTCCCACCTGTTTAGCAATTTCTAGATGACGTTGATGGTACTGGATGGCTGTTTTGAACTGTCC